GTTCCATTTAAAAATAGCGCAGATTAAATTCTATATTATTAACATTATAGAATTTAGTACCAACATGTAATATTTTGTAAATTTATTATATAATTAAACAAAATTTTTCTCCAATCTTCTTGGAAAAACTATCCAAACCGCTTCAAATATCTATGACTTGTCAATTTTGAAGTATTACTTTGATATGGTGCAAAATATTAAGATACACATATTTTTTGGTGAACTTTTTGTTTTATAGTTAACAAATGCTCTCAAATTATATTTTAAACAAAATATCTTATTTTGCCAGAGTTGGGAAACGAAATCTGCTTTTTAGCCATTTTTCAGTGCCTTGTCACATGGCTAAACAAAAACATTTTAGCAGCGCAGTATAAAATAAATACAAAAAGGAAAATCTAAAATTAGTAAACTGACTGGCTGATTTATTGATTTTAAAATGAAAAGTCCATAAGTATTTTCTTTTTTCCGGTTTGGTTGGAATATTATTTTAATTTGCTGAAAATACAAATTTCTTCAAATTATATTCCCCTCTCCAGAGATTGAATAAGTATTTTGCAAAAGCGACAGTTTGCAAAATACTTTTACGATTTGTTGAACCAAAGGATCCAATTTCCCAGGTTTTGATAATTAATCCCCCCGGTTTAACGACACTTTCTTTTGCTTCCTAAGCACAACGTCTCTCCCTGCTGACTCAATTACAACTAGGAATTTTAATTTATCACCTGAGCTTAAAACTTCTCGGATGTTAAAGCGTTTCAAGAAGTTAAAACAGTAAATGACTTCGGAGAAATTGCAATTTAGACGACAAGTTACCTTTGGATTTATGAAAGGACGTTTGGCGAAGTTAAGTGTTGACTGGCGAAAACTTCGCATCGGCGATTCCGTGCTTGTCGGATTTATAATGAGCAATTGTGGAACCTGCCTGAAGTATTTGGCGATAACTTCTGAGGCTGTTACATAAGGGAATAGGAATTAAGGTAAATGAGAAAGCAAGAAAGTAAATTATAATTGCCATTTAGTATAGTTAGAGAGACATTTCGGAATTCGCTCTGGAACTTGTGAAGACTCATAAACATGAGCTGATGAAGTGTATGAAAATTCAGCGAAAAAGTATTGCATTTGAAACTTACATAAAACGTATTAAAATAGGTGATCTTTTACTTTTAACTTTTGTGAGTAATATAATTGTTCGATATTAACGTTCCCTTTTAAACCTTCAGGACTGGAGCAAAAAAGTGCTTACCACGGCCTACAAATCAATACCTACTAGAAGAGAGAAGGCCTCAGAAAGAGTAACAAGAAATTTGATCCTTTAGTAGTTCGAACTAATGACATCTTTCATATTTTTCATTACTGTATATCTTAGTAGTCTGAACGTAGTGATATCTTTCTTATTTTTCATCCACTGCGAAGTTTATGTTCGTTATGTAGGACTACTAAATTGATCCGTGCTGAGGCCCTTCTCTTTTCTGGGAGGTGTTGCACTACGTACTCAAGAGTATATATATATACATACAAATACGAGAGTTCTGTACTTCAACCACTTAACTGATATATCGTGCAACTTAAGTCAGAAAGACTCGTTTCATATATGATGTTCCGTTCATATATGATCACCGGCCTTTAAGGCAAAATCACGAGACGAATAAATGTGATTTCATATGACCTGAAGTTGATAAAGAAACTAGAAATATTTTACTACGTCTACGCAACTGGAACTTGTGTTGAGCATTAAAAAAATGATTTTTTTAATTGAGTGTGAGGGGATTTAATTATCGACTATGTCAACCTTCATCTATCAAAAGGTACCTCATGATGGATCTTATCTTATCTTGTTGGTTGGTCGGGGTCCCTGAGGCCAAGATGGCCCTTTACCCCTTCATCATGAAGTAAAGATCGTTGAGGTGAAACCTTGTGGTGATAAGCATAATGCCAAAGTTGAAGCGGGGAGAAAATGGCACATTGCCATGGTGCGGAAAAGCTGTGGTGACTTGAAAAAGAGTTGAAAGTAATCAACAAAAATGAAGTCTACTGTGCTTTGCTTGAGGAAAACATCTCGATGTTTTTAAGAATACTTATCTCGAATTCATAATTAACATCTCCAATCTCCGCTAGTAACTAAACTGGCGAGGACCCGAGGGAAAATAGATGTTAGTAAAGCCAGACTCCTACTTGCGAAACATGCTTCGACCAGTCGGTTTCAAACGCAAATGACCGCCATTAACATGTCGGACAGGCCTAAATGCTACTAACGAAAGGTCAATGCAATCATCACGTTCACGTACGTCGAGGCTAAACAAGTTACTACTGCCGCTTACACGGTGTGTTCACGTTGGCTGGATTTGAAAACTATTTCATCTTGATGTTCTGTCTTTCAAACAGTGATCAGTGATCGACGTCGCAGAAGAACTGCAGTCATCAGGCTTGCATCAAACGCTCACGAAGAGAGGAAGAGATCATCGCTAAGGCAGGGAGGTGGTGACGACTGGCTGGCCGGAACTCATCGTTGGTCATCCCGCTGCAAGGCGTCCGAACCCCCGGCTCGGAGAACTCGCAAGGTACGTCCGTCTCCTAAGGCGTCTTCAGCTGGAAGTGATGATCATGATGGAATCAAGTAAGCATGTCTTATATACTAGTGATTTGGTGTTTAATAATTGTAGTGGTAGTTACGCCACATTACTCCCCTTCTAGACTTTTATCTGTGATAGAATTCGATGAATGTGTACCACTAGTTCAATCATGCTGGGTTTTTTGTATTTATTTATTTTTTATTTCTATCAATTTGCTCATTATATTTTTTCTTCATTTTTGTTTATTAACCGGGAGATTTTATTTACTTCATCGGATTTGTTTTTCTTTGAGCAATATATTTTTAAGCAAATCATTTTAATGTGGACCATCGAGCAATATTGGCAAGTTCTTTTCACGTACGGATCGCTACTGAGGGGATCTAATTACTGACTACGTCGACTTTTATCTATCAAAAGGTACCTGTTGATGGAATCAAGTAAGCATGTATTATATACTAGTGATTTGGTATTTAATATTTGTAGTGGTAGTTACGCCAAAAGTGCATATGTCGTTTATTCTCAATGCACAGAAACTATCTATTTTAAGTACTTTCCAAGCGAAATTACTTTTACACTTCAATCTTGTGCGTTATAAGAATAAATCAAACAATGCTTAGAATGAAATCGGAAACAAGAAAACAACTGATACTTTTATTTCAAATACTTTCCATGTAAAGAAAGTTAAATCCCTGCATTTTAAGCAAAATCACTTTTAAACTGTATGTCTTCAAACAATCTTAGGCTAGGGAAAAATTCAAAATCAAGAAAACTGGAAGAGAATGAAGTAAGATTAAATTTATTTTTTTAAAAAAAAACTGCATCAGATATTTTCAGCAAGCAAATAGAATGATATAAATAGCATATGTGTATAAATTTAACTAGGCCGTTATGAGTAACAGATTGATTTCTTCATGAGGCCCATTAAATTCTGTTTTAAGTTGACATGGATATTTTACAAAACAGAGCAGTTTCTGTAAGAAAAAAATTAAAAGCTAAAAATTAAAAGAAAACCATAAAACCTTCCGCTGTTAGCTCGGTGTCAAGAGGATTCTAGCCTTTGAATTCCTACCACAGAGGATATATTCCGTCAACACTGGAGTTAGTGCGAGTAGAATCCATATCAACCAGCCTCCACTGGGATTCGAACCTGGGGCACCTCATTGGGAGGCGAATTCCTTAACTCTTCAGTCACGACGGTTCCTTCTATCTCAAATATTTTCATGACCACCGTTGAACAGCCAACCCAATTTAGGTTCAACTCGGTAGCCTTGTAATTTTGAACCCAATCCAGAAGGCAAAGGAGATCCTGAATCAAGTATTGGGAGAAATTTGCTTTCGTTGAGGATTTTTTTGAGGGAACCTACCCACATTTGCGTTACATAGAGAGGAAAAACACGAAAAGACTCATAGTTTTCTTGACGGCAAAGGGATTTTAACCCATGATTCGTCCACCGCGAAGATATTTTACGTCAGCACTGTGGTTCATACGAGCCAGGTGCTGAATTTGTTTCGATAAGGCATCGCTAGGATTCAGACACGGTTTACCTCATCGGACAGCGAACGCTTTAACCCCTGAGCCACCACGGCTCCCTCTGTCTTACTTTTACTTTATTTTATAACCGTCGTTGAACAGCCTATCTCATTTTTAAGTTTACGGCTTCTAATGTTCAACTACGTAGCCTTGTAATTTTGAACTCCTGGATCAAGTATTGGGAGGAATTCGCTTTCTTGGAGGACTTTCTTGATGGAACTAACCCGAATTTGCGTTACATTGATAGGAAGACCACGAGAACCTTCCACGGTTACCCTGATGGCCATGGGACTCTGGCTCATGATCCGTCTACCACTGAGGATATTTCACGTCAGCACTGTGGTCGGTGAAAGCCGGATGCGGAATTCGTATCGACCAGCCATCGCCAGGATCGAACCCCGGTTCACCTCATTGGAAGGAGAACGCTTTATTACCGGAGCCATCGCGGCTCTCTTCTGCCTTATTTGTAACAATAAGATTTTCAATATCCAAAAGCATATTTTATATGAACGTTCATTTCAATGAATATTTTACAGTAAAAAATAATGCAATCAGCTAAGTGCAAAAAAAAAATGAATTTTATAACAAATAAATATTTTCCGTTGAAAGAGAGCATTTAACGTAAAATAGTTTGTTTACAAAGAAAATAATTAGTCTAAGATGAAGAGCTAATTTAATTTTTTATTACCCATTAAATACGACATCTGTTGTGTCAGTTTTAACTATTTAAGTCACGCTCCAGTAGACCAGCATTAATCAAAACACTCCAGCATTAATCAAACATCGTTCATTTTTTTTTGAATGAATAAATATTCTGATTGAAGATAATATAATTAATAACAAAACACTGTTTCAATTGTAAAATTTAAATTTTCCAAAAGCAATGTTCGGTCACTTACCGGCTCCTATATGGACATCCCTGCTGGCGAGTGTTCCAAAGCTGTTTGTGGCAGTACACCTGTAAGTGGCGGCGTGGACGTCCTGTCTGTACTGGTCGGCTCGAAATGGTTGGAAGACTAGTGATCCATCAAGACGGACGTGTCGGAGGCCTGGAATATCGACAGCTGCTGTACCATCATTGTTCAGCCATCTGACCACAGGACTCGGACTACCAAAAGCTGTGCATGGAATGATTGCTCCGGTGCTATTCAAAAACTCATGCCGGCTCAGTGGTTCGTGCAAAAATGAGGGACTTTGGCGAGTATTGGAATGTGATTGAGCTGCAAAAAAGCGAAACAAAATATTACAGTGAATAATTTTCTTGTAATAAACTCCCTACAATAAGTTTGTCACGAGCAATTCTTTCTTTAATTGCACATATTTCGTTTACTCAGATTGTGATTGGTTGTTTTTTAAATGAAAAGGAAAGATTACTATTGGGCATGGGCAGATCGTGATTTTGTGGGGCCCTGGGCTGAAACTACTTTGGGGCCCTAATAGCCATTTTGTCAAAAAAGCTGTTTTCTATTGATGTAGATAAGTATATAGAAAAAAATAGGACAATAAAATAATTTTATTAATTTTTTTCACTTATTTATTTTTATTTGTCTATACAAACAGCAACTGTACAACATTATTGCANAAGAAGATCACAGATACCCATACTTGAGAGCTATGACGTCAGCTGCAGTTTATCGTTCCTGAGTAAAATGGCGTGTTTAAGTTAAGCTAAATTTCCTCGCGTAAGTTAAAATGTTAATTAACGTGGTGTTAATTAAATACAGCTCCGTATTGCACATCAAATTTGCTGAAATATAAATCTTTTTCGTCTACATTTTTTTACCTAACTTAGATTTATTATTTGTTAATGAATTTTGTTGAAACCGTAATTTATTTTTGTATTGTGTAACTGGCAACTTCGATGCTTAATTAAATTGTTTATGTTCTACCTCTTTGTGTTAAATAAGAAATTGATAGTGAAATAATTGAAATCCCTGTGAAAGAATCTTTGTGTAAGAATATAGAATGTATCACTTAAGAGAATTGATATTTGACGGGTTTAGTTTACTCAAAACAGAATGAAAAGAACAGTTCCGTACCTAAACAAATACAACTTTTCAACAGCCTATCAGGATTGAGATACCCAAACTACGTCACTCGCAAGCATATCATTTAACATACGTTCAAGTTTGAAAAGTTTATCCAAATATTTTCACTTTAATCCTTCCGCAGCAAAATGTTATGAGTTATTTATAGCTTGGTTTTGAAATGGAATTGTGTTATTGTTGTTCTAACGTGAAAAAACAAATTCTGTTCTTTTTATGCTGTTACGTAATACAATCATACATACGGATTACCTATTTATTTTCATTTTTGAAACAAATTCGGGCAAAAAAGTACAGATGGCATGAAGTACTCGTACCTCAACTCCCAAAAATTATGTTAAAAAGTTTCCCCTATGTGTCAAATAATTACTTTTTGACATATTTTTTATGCTGGTGACAATCAAAAAATAAGGTATAGTATAACACTATAGTATAGTACTTAGTATAATACTTGCTTATCCATTTTTCTTTCAATTTGAAAGCACTCATTTCTATTTTTTTCTTCAAAAAAGTGCATAACTAAAAACTCACTACATTTTATCTCTTTAGTGTTTTACAATAAAGTAACATCTACCTTTATAATATAAATCTCATTTTTTGTTACATTAGAAGAAAAAAGTAGCATTTCTTTTAAAATGTGAATGTTGCCTTATGCATGTCCAAATTTGAGAAACTACTGTTTAATTATATCATCAAATTATTCTTATCATACTAATAACCACATGTTCATTTTAAACTGCTCTATCAAAGTAACAATTATTCCAAACAAGTAGCAAATAAATAATCTATTTTTCTAATTATATAATGTATTCATGCCACCAAATAATTTTAAACGTAAAATACGCTTTCACTGGTAATCCAAGCAAATAAGACACCTATATTTGCAACGGCAGAATCATTAGTCCAGCAAAACTATTCCGTTAATGACGCTTCTCAGCGGGACCTGGCTTTAACGCAAAAACTGTGGTATTCCAATTAAACACAAACCATCAACAAGTGAATCCACTCAAATGCAACGGCGTGATTAATTGGAGCCAGGGTTGGACAATTTCTGAAACGTGCACTTTCACATAACATGCTTTATAGGAAGATGAATTATCGTGGTTACATCTCTGGCGATGGTTGGCGAGCATTTCAGAGAAACCTTACAATTAAAAGGGACAGAGCTACGGCTGAGAACTTACGTTTTGAAAGCACAAGGTAGACAATGAGAAAATACTCACCAAAGTTGTGTTGACTTTAAAATGAGGGTTGTGTGACAAAATGAGAACAAGAATTATTATTGTTGCTAAGGGCTGTGGTGATTTGCTCCCTGCTCGCTTTGCACACCAAACACTATAATTGCTTCCCCACGACTTTTTATTTCTTAATGATAATCAAATTCTTAGATAAAAATGAAATGTTATTCAATTGAAAAAAATTCCAGTTCTTCTTTATTTTATTAATACCTGGATCATTTTTGATTACATTTGAATAAAATTTATATTCGGTAACTATTTCAGATTCATCCACACTATTTTTTTAAAAATTATTATTACCCATTGTCAAAATAGGCGTTATTTTGGGTTTGATGGTGTGCGCACTTTGTTTGGAAGTCATAAAACTTTTGAACTCAAGAGTAATAGTAAACAGTGCGCATGCGTTGTCATTGTATGCGCTGCTATGGCGACCGCTGCTGTTTAATAGTTTTTTTGGAATTATTCTTATTCACTTTTAATTCTGTTATGCATTAAGTTGGCGAGTTTATTTTTGAGATATGGGACCAGAGTGATCCCATAAGTACTTCTTAAGTTGAGAAAGAGAATTTCATCATTTTAATGGTATTTTTGTTTTTATTTTTTTTAAATTTAGAATCAGAAATTCTGACCTACTGTTCAAACTGGATCATTTTCAATACTAATTCAGGTGAATATCACAAATAAAGAGGGTCCTAAACTGACTGACACTGTCCCAACGGTTAGAGTTAAAGCAAGAAAACGATGTCAGGGCCAAAACTTACGGAATGGGTAAAAAAAAATTAGACAACTACCATTTTGCCAATAGGTTTTCTTTTTAAATTTTGGTTTCTATGAAAACTCACCAAAGATATTATTTAGCAATAGTACGAAAAGTAAAATCATAATAATGTTCGAAATTTTTAAATTTAATATTTTAATTGCGTAAGTTCAATGTTCATGATTTTACCTAATTATTAAGCAAATATAACTAACTTACTGTTAAGTGATTAGAAAACGGTTAATAACTTGGATAACAAATGTGTTTTTTCATCTAATGCATGACAGTACTGTAATATCACAAGATTATCAGAAAAAAGCACAGCTATTAGTTTGGAATAGAATTCAAAATTTAAAAAAATAAACTTGATAATGGCAGAGAATTATGCTATGTAAGGATGATAAATAAAAAAAGCAAAAAAACGGGGAAGAATCAAAAATAAAGATACAAAAGGGACATATATAATATGTCCAAAATGGACATAATATAGTTCCGTTGCCAGAAACAAGAACTATCCTCTGTGTCGAAACATGAAATTTATATTTAATTGTAGAATTATTTCGTATTTTGACCCTGAAGTATTTTGTCGTATTTTGACCGTATTTGACAGCTATATTAATGCACAGCACAAAGTATACATTGAGAAAAAAAATGGCCAAAACTATTAGAATGTGGTAAAATTCACTGTTCTTCTGACTTTCATAAGAACACCCCGAAAAACTCAGAAATTATAGCGAAGCGTTTTAGTAATGATTTTGATAAAATTATCCATAAAATATGGTTTTATAATAAGTGACAAAATTTCGTAAAGGCGGTAAAATGTGGTAATTTCATCATTTTACCTTATGGCACTGCATAAAAACTATTTATTCGGTTGAATTTACTTTTCAGTTTTGTAACTTTATTTAATGTGCTGCAATTAGTACTGTAATTTTGAAAACTAGACTTACCTGTACACCGTTACCAAAGGAACGGAAAAATATCGAAATAAAGATTTTAAATGCAGCATATTTCTTTTTTTAAATTTTTTACTAGAAAGGTTATTACAATACAGAATGGTAATTATACCACAATTGTTTCCTCCTTGTACCCTATATTAATTTGGATACAGATGAAAAAATTAAGAGGACAAAGAAACATTTTACAGATACATTTTATAGCCTTTGCTAAATTATATTGATGTCAAACCTAAGAAGCCATGAACTTCTTCAGATGGGTGAAAGACATTCTTAAAACATTATATTTTTATATCATACTTCCCACTTTCTGCAACCAGCTGGTCCGCCTTTTTTAATAATATGAAATTCAGGTATTTTGATCACACAGTCAAAAATCAAGACGATGTGTAATGAACTCATGTTTCTCAATTGAGAGGGAATTTAATTTTTGCTTTTTACATGTTTGAACTTTCAGATCTTAGGCGATTCGAGGAATTTTTTGCATTTGTCTTAAATGGGCATCCTGTTGAATTTGTCATTAAAATTAAATTTGAGTTATTAAAATGCTCAGTACAACATATGTTAAAATTTTTAACAAAAAATATGCAAATCAGCTCACTAGACAGTTTGGTGCGTAATAAAAGAATTAGTAACTTTGATTAAATCAAAATCTACAATGTTTTGCTACATAAATTATCTCTGAGTTAACTACTAAAATGGTCCATTACAACCCAATGCATTTTATTGGTAAGGTTTTTCACCTCAAAGCAAAATAAAATGTAACTATTATAAATTTCTTAAAGTTAAAAGAATACACCGACCAAAAACTGCAAATGATACATTTTAAAGCCAAAAAATTAAAAAAAAAAGTTAAAGAAAAATAGTAATTTTTAATGGCACTTTTGTTGAACTAAAAGTCAGCATAACCAAGTAAATCAGTCTTTACATCTTATGTTTAATTTAGCCAGCATTAACATGAATTATGTTAGATAAGACTTTCTTTAAACCAGACAATCCCGCTGGTCACCAAATTTTGAATTATAATTGTATTTTCCAAACTCTTTTGAGTTCTTTACCAAGGGCGAGTATGTGTTTTATTTACTTTTTTATTATTATTTATCATAATAAACTCGTTTCTGCAGTAACTGAGATAGACCTAGAAATCTCCTCTTCTTCAAATATCATGCTCATATTCCCCATAGTGACGGGAATATAGACTTTCAAAAGTTTAATACCCATTGG